CGGGCAGGGGGGGCCCCCGCCCCGGCCCCCCCCCGGCCTCTTCCTCCTGCCCCCGCGCTCCAGCTTGGCCGGGAGAAAAGAAACCCCCTGCCATGGGGCAGCACAACGCCGAGCACAGCGGCCACCGGGCCGAAAACTTCAAACACATGACCCGCTTCCCTCTTCTGTTTGCTTTAGAGTCGCGGGGCCTGGACTTTGAGCTGGCGGCTGCTCTTTCTCCCCTCCTTCGGTGTCAGACATAAAATTTACTAAACATTTAGTGTTTTGAGAATCTATAGTAACTGAGTATTTCTCCCTTCAGTTTATTTCTCAGGCTTTTTTTTTTTTTTTTAATATTATTATTATTGACTTAGGGAGTGCAATCAGGTTCCTCGAATTTCCTTCTCTTTCTAGTTTTGGTTTTTTGTTTTTTTTTTCCCCCTTGCCTTGGCCCGAAGTGAGGCGTAACCAGGGGAGCCACCAGCCTATTATTTTCTGCAGTTGTTTACTCGTTCTGTAGATGGTGCTTGTTCCCAGGGCTCTGAGCCTCTCTATAATTAAACCCATTTTAATTGTTAGGTTAGAAACGTCATTTCGGGGACTTTCCAAGAGTTACCGAGAAAGCCAGCCGAGATAACTATTTCGCTACTGAGTCGCTCCCAGCCGGGTTTTCGCCCCGGTTCCTCCCCGTCGGCCGGCCGCGCTGCCAGGCTGAGCGGAGGGCTCCGTGGCGGCAGAGCGGAGAGCCCTGGGCCGGCAGCCCCACCGCCCACGCCGCCGCCTGCCCACGCTGCTTTGTGCATCGTTCGCTTGCCCCACGCGCGGTTGTTTCGGAAACTTGGGGGTTTAAGGTTGCACGTTTCCACAGACGGAGCGGCGGAGGCTGAAGCGGGGAAGGTGTTCTGTTTTGTTTTGGTTTGGTTTTTTTGCCAGGGACTGGGCTTGGCAAAGCCCGGCTCCATGGTGGTCTGCTCAGCGTTAGCTGCGCACATGCTCGGAGCAGGAATTTAGCTGCTCACCCCACCTCGTGGCTAAAAGTCAGAGTCCTCCAGGCCGGAGTGGGAATTTGTGTGGGTATGAATTCACACTGAGTGGAGGAGTGAAATAAATAAAAAAAAGAAAAAAGGGAGCCTCGCACCTTCCCGCCAGAGAACCCTGCCAGAACTTTGATAGATGCAAATGAAGAAAAACAGGTAAATGAATAAATGAAAGTCAATTATTAAGGAAGATGACTGAAAAAAAGCGAACGAATGCAGCGCCATGCTCTCTTGCCTCCTCGTGTGGGTCAATCTGTCCGGGCCCAGCACGTTCCAGTTGGGATACTACAGCTGGCCCTGGGAAGAAGGAATAAATGTCTAGGACTTCCCAAGCCCTTCCCAAGTCCTGCTGGAGGTCAGTCCTTCTTCAGGAGCAGCTTCTGGAGCATTCTCGTTCCCTGCTTCCGATGCAAGCAGATGCTAAACTTGCCTCAAAACACAGAGGGATAAGATTCTTCATCAGACCTGTGCACACATTTAAGGGAGGGATTAAGAACCGCTGTCCCGAATGAGAGCTGGCAGGGGCCAGAAAGGCCAGAAAACAGGGAAGAAGCGGGGGGCAGCGAACGAAACGATAAAGGCAGGAGGTTTAAAGGAGTACTTTTTCCGATCGTGTGTGCGTGTATAAAAGTGTGGGCTCCATTGGCACAGGATGCTGTGGAGGTCAAAAGTATAAACGGGGTCAAAAAAGCAATTCGACAAATTTATGGAGGAAAAGTCCCTGGAGGTTTACTAAAGGCAAAGGCAGACCTCCGCAGCACGTTGCTGGACAATGAACAGCAAAAGTATCACTCTCTCATTCTCCTGTTTTTTCCCCTAAGCAGTGGCTGCTCTTGGAGGTAAAAAGGCCACAACAGACCTTTGATCTGACCCAGTTCAGTTATTTTTACATAGTTAGGGTCTACTTTTACCCTTTACACTCCCTCTAACCCTGACGGGCTTGGAGGTACACCTCACAAACTTGGGATGAGCTGTGCGATGACAGATTGTTTGGGCCAGGTAGGAGGAGGTCAGCGCTGGGAAGTCCAAATCAGCGCTATCTCATCCCTGAGCTGCTGGGCATGGTCTCACACGCTGAGCTCTGCAAGGGCCAAAGAACCGTCCCACGGAGGGGGGGGGACACAGGACGGGGGGGACACTGCACTCCTTGCCCAGTTTAACTCCCCGTCAGGGTAATAAGAGGTGACTTCGAGCACCGAGTATAAAGTGAACCCAGGTGCCAGCTTTGTCACAAATATATTTGGTGATGTTGCAGCTCCCATAGCAACAGAAGAAGATTGCCATCTTAAGACACCTCCACTTTTCTTCACCTGGAGCCGTTCGGCAATGGGAAGCCTGCAGGTCTGCTTGCATCAGTTAGAGTTACTGAGCAAGAACCAAGTACAGAAAAGCCTGAATTGATGACAACAAGTGGGGGCGGGGTGTGTGTTTTGTTTTGCTGTGTCGTGTCCCGTGTCCCGTGTCCCGTCCCGTCCCCCCCCACCCCAGTTTCCAAAGTTTCAAGCTAGGAAAAGGAAGTGCTTTCATCACGAGCAAGGTTTTCCCCTGTGAGTTTCAGATGAGTGAGGCATTTTGCTCCCCGACTCCCATGGGAATCTTGGAATCATAGCATGGTTTGGGTTGGAAGGGACCTTTAAAGGTCATCCAGTCCAACACCCCCTGCAATGAGCAGGGACATCTTCAACTACATCAGGTTGCTCAGGGTCCCGAATCTTCAGGTAAATAGATGTGTCTTTTCTGCAGTGGTCCTCCAACGTACAGTGGCTGGGGTGGAGGAAGGATAAACCTCCTGCCTTATTTCTGCTGGGGGTGTAAAATGAGTTGAAGCTTTCTGCAGTCGCTATTCTATTATTATCTTTTGGGTCTGGTGCTATTTTTGTTGGCTGTGGCCCTGGAGGTGGAGGTGTGGAAGTGCCTTTCTGCTGGTCTCCACAAGTGGGTGTAGATGTTTCCTCAGTTCCAGCTACCTCCTCAGACGCTGTGGCCTTTCAGGGGGAGTGGGCGGATGTCAGCGTGGCCGTTCCCTGCCTGTCCCTAACTTTTTAATCCTTCCTTTTATTTTGGCCTTGCGCTCCTTCCATGGAACATCTCTGGGTAGCCACTGGGAGGTGTGAATGGCTTGGGATGGAAACCACAGCTTGTAGGTGCGCCCTCTGCCAGGCTTTTCTGGCACCAGAGGAAGCCCGGCCTCCGCCTGCTCCAGGGCTGAAGGGATATTACCAGCTGCTCGGTGAGAAAACAAATTTGCAGAGATACAGGAAAGTGTGTTAAGGTGGTGGGAAGCAACGGGAGTGAGATTCCTGGCAGCTCGGGTATGTAAACATTCATAAAATAGAGAGTGTGTGCATGTGTGTACTTTGTGGTGGCAGGAAACCCAAGAAGCTACCTCCATTATTTTTGCTGGAATTGGCAGCAACGGTGCCAGGCAAATATTATAAGCCCTTAATCCTCCTGACTTTACACCTGTGAATGACCTAAAGACCATCCAGGGCGAGCTAAATTACGGGCCATCTTTACTAATTGGTAATGGGATTTGGGATCTGATTTTGTTGTTCATAAAGAGGCTTTTCTGTTTGTCGGTGGCTTGGATGCTGGGCCACCTCTGGGGGGAGGGAGGGGAGGGGGAGACAGGAGGTGGAGGTAGTGTGTGGCCTCTTCTGAAAAGTGTCACATGGATGTGACTAGGCTGTCACATATTTAGCAGTGGTGGCACTGACAAGGTACTGCAGTGGAAAAAGCAGAGGTGTCCTTTTAGCAGATGCAGGGTAAGGAAATTGGCTGAACTTAACAGACCTAAGTTATAATTTCCAGTGGAAATGCTAATGCAATTAACATGTTTCCACATAGCAGGACAGCAAGCCCGTGCTAGCATTTAGCTCTTTGTCACAACTGCTCGGGCGGCCGGCCCAGCCGCATCCCGGGGTCCGTCCAGCTGCACCCAGACATGAGCAGCCTGTGCTGGGGATGGGAGCGGCGCTGAGGGACAAACCACTGTGGAAAACAATAGGTTTGAGAGGCCGGAGGAAAAGAGCATCACCACAACCGGCTGCTGCACGGTTGTGAAAAGTGAAGGTGCCTGAAGAGGAACCTCTGCCCCTCTGCCCCTCTGCCCCTGGCCTGGGCACGGGGCTGTCACTGCATCCCATCTCCCCAGCAGGATGCCCACCAGCCTGTCCGGGGTTTGCGGGGCGCAGGGCTGGAAAGCCCATCAGCCCCCTCCTGCAGCACCGCAGAGCTCCCTGCTGCCCGCTCGCCCGCTGCCAGCACCCACCACCTCCTGCAAGAGAAACCTCCCTCTTCTTATCAGGGTTTGCCCATTCTCGGGGAAGGTGCAAATCCTTTAGGGCAAGGAACAAGTCTCATCTGATCTCTCCTCCTTGAGCATGCCATAACTGTGCGAGTCTGCAGAAAGGATTTCCATCCCACTGGTGTGGTAATGGGATCTGAGAAAGAGCGCCAGCCTGGCTACAGCCAGGCGAGGGATGGAGCAAGAGATGTTTCGCACCACTGGCGGAGGAGAGCCATGAAGCAGCTGTCAGGGAGACCGGTGTGCTGTCCCACTGCGGGTCCCTGGAGCAGCATCCCATTCCCCCTCCCTGTGGGGAGCCCACCTGCATGGGACAGCCCGTGCAGCCGGGTGCCGGCACCCTCTTTCCTCCAAGTCACAGCCAGGCACATGGCGGTCCCGGAGTCCCGAGCATCCCAGCTGGGCCCAGATTCAGGAGCTGATGATGGTGTACAGCAAGGGCAGAGCTTCAGATAGGTACCTCTAACCTGGCCTGGTCTGCACAGGGCTCAGTGCCTGCCAGGGCGGAGAGAAGTCAAATATCTCTTGCCTAAACAAATTGTCCTTCAGATTAAGGGAATTGCCAGAAGCTCTAAAGATGCTGTTGGCAGTTTCCAGAAAAAAAAAAGCAAGTGGCACCTGCCTCCCATCAAAACAGCAACTGCTCCTGTATTGACAGGGTGGTTAGCGCACGGAACAGAAGTGAGCGGGGACAGGGGACAGCACAGATCTCAGAAACCACCACAAATTCCACATTTTTTTTCAAATCCTGCTTCCACGTTCCCAAGCCCGTACACAGCAGGGCGATAAGGCAGCACAGCGATTCCTGCGGGCCTCGGCCCGTTTCCAGCCGGAGCAGCCCTGGCTGCTGATTTATTCAGCAGACATCAACTGGTGGAATGTTTCCGTGATTTTTCTCTCCAAAAGAATGTGCTACGACTAAGTGCTTTCACCTTTTTTTTTTTTTTTTTTTTTTTTTTTTTTTTTAAGGAGAAGGTCTAAAACCAATTGGGAGCCTCTGGGATCGTGACATTTGTCTGACATGCAGTGCTGGTGTCAGAAGGTGCTGCTCGCTGTGCTGGTGGCAGCTCACCTCCCATAGGCCCAGCCACAACCCTCTGAAAAATACCATTTTGGCCCTTCACGGTGGAACTTGTCATAACCTTGTTTCCAAACACACGGGTTGCACTCCACACATCTTACAGCTCTATGAGATATTTGCATCAGGGAGGCAGCTTGCTTTCCCGCCTATCCCATCCCATCAAAACACACTTTTAGCACCAGGCAGGAAGCCAAGGTCAAGGCTCCTTTTCTTTTTTTTTTTTTCTTTTTTTTCCCCTCGTTCCCCTGCCTGCTCTGAATACATCATGATACAGACTTCAGTTACACTATTATATCTTTTCCCACAAGACCGTTGCCTCATTCAGACCACAGCAGGGAAGATGCTTTCATCTCTGCCAGCTGGGCATGGCTGGAGCGC